TTCTAGCCGACAATGATTCATTGATTTTGGCTGTACAGTAAGTCAGCTGCTGCCCATGAAATTATCATGGTGCCAGTGAGTCATGAGGGCTGCTGATTCCCACTTACTCTCTGGAAGAAGGAATGCACAACTTTCTTTCTCAGGGGAGCTAAGTGTTTTTTTTAGCCATTAAGATTTGATGTGATTATTCTTAATTGACTTGGGGTTAAGACAGACAATTCTAAGGCAATTTGGTCTTGCCTTCAGCTAATGACATGGGCTTTGAGAAGCCAGCAAATTCGGTTTTGCTGGCACTGTTATGTATCATTACAGGACAAAATGAGGCAGAGAATCTAGTTAGAACTCTGGTAAATTTGTAAGGTATTGTTGGTGAGGGTCCATCTGCTCATTGGAGTCTGTTAGTCCCATTCCATATTCTCCTTTCCATATCTTTTCCTTTCTTCTCAGTCTCTCTTACTACCAAAGCACAAATTTTGGGATTCGTTTATTCAGTAAATATTTACAGAGGAAGTCCATGCCAAGATAAACACTGAGGTGTAGTGATGTATCCAATAGACATAGTCTTTGCCCTTTCATAGAAATTACAGTCTAGAGTAGCTGAAGGACCAATCTAGCCCTCCACCTATCATTATATATAAAGTTTTATTAACACAGTCATTCATATTCAGTACATAGTATCTGTGACTATTTCACAGTACAATGGCAAATGTGAATAATTGCAAGAGAAACCTTGTGGTTTGCAAAGCCAGGAATCTTTACTACTTGACTCTTTCTAGAAAAAGTTACTGACCCCCTCCTCTTTTAAGTGATAATAGAGACATTACATAATGCAGCTTGGGGTATAGAAAAGTCTCATCAATACTACTACAGAATATAAATTCTCCCGAGAACAGTAACTGCAGGTGAAATCTCAACAGCAGAAGTTAACACGCTCGTATTTGAATGTTAGGAAAGTTCTTATGACTTGTATGAGGGAAATGATGAGGAGATAGTACATGTATGTATGAGACTGGAAGCATGAAGGTGGTATGGGGTTAAGAGCACACACTTCTCAGTCAGCCTGCCTAGTTGATTTTAATTCTCCCAGGTACTGATTCTGATCCCAGGTAATTTGGTCAAGTGTTTCTCTATGATATTGATGGTACCTAACTCATGGGATTAGGTGAGTTCATTTATGTGAAGCATTTAGAAATATTATTGCTATCACCGTTACTGCTATCATCATAATCCCTGATGGTGGGTGGCCAAAATTAAGAGAGTGGTCGTGAAGATACTGGAATCAGTCAAATTTAAGGGCAAGGTAGGTGACAGAATTGACAGAAAGTAATGTGTGACCGAACATCAGTAAGCTTGATAGAAGGTGAGATGTTGAGGATGAAATGTGGGTTTAGTGCCTCATCAGCTGAATAGATAGATGGCCCGGTGTCTGAGGTAGAGAAGTCTGTAACGAAGTGGTTGCATGGTGTGAGGAGAATGGTAGGTTCAGCTTTAGATGAGTAAAACTGAGATCACAAAGAGATGAATGGAAGTTGGAGAATCAATTATCTGCAAGATCTGGAAATCAAAAGTGTGCTATGGGCTGGGGAAGTGCACGTAAGAATCATCAGTACTGCCGGGCGTGGTGGCACATGCCTTTAATCCCAGCATTCGGGAGGCAGAGGCAGGCAGATCTCTGTGAATTCAAGGCCAGCCTGGTCTACATAGTGAGTTCTAGGCCAGCTGGGGCTACTGGGAGACCGGGTCTCAAAAAAAAAAAAAAAATCATCAGTATTAAACCTAGCTTGGAAAAGATTGTAGTAACCCAGATGGAACAGTAAGTAGACTTCTTACAGTATGCCAGAGAACACCAAAAGTTTAAAGTTGATCAAAGAGCCATTAAGGCAAAGAAAACATCAAAACAACTTTTAGTAGATGTACATGAAACTTGAATGCATATAAAACTTTCCTTGTTAAACTGGGGGAATTTAAGAACTACTTGCATTTGTAATTTTTATATTAACAGGAAAACCTAAACTGTAACATGCTTTTCACTCTTTGAGTGATATACTCTATGGAACACATAGTATCATATCCCATATTCTTCTAAGATAGTTTCCTCATGAACATTAGGTAATTTAGGGGGTGGTATGGCTATGGATGCTGAGGCCGGATGACCTGTTGTTCAAACCGCTCCCCTGTATTCAGTGCCATTTCCTTTCCCCACTTTTTACCATTTCACTGAAGTCTGTAACGTGAAAATTTGAAGTGAATGTCTTTTTTTCTTTTTTGGGTTATACTTCGTCCAGCATTAATAACTTTTGTCCCACATTTTATAGCATTTTATAACGATTTCTCTGCTTTGATTCACTTACACTTCATAAGTAGGCATACTTTTGCAAAGAGCCAGAAGACAGTTTATAGAACATGACACTTTCCATCATCAGAACCACCCTTAGCTTCAGTACTTGCCTCTGTTGCAGGATCATACTTAGAGGACGTTATTTTTAATGATTAGTTAATCCCAAGGGAGTCTTCTGTCCTTTATGAACATAAGATTTCTGGCAAGAAGTCCTTTTTAGTTATTTACTTTTATTGATTTTCAAGTTAGCATACAAAGTAATAGGTTTCATTATAAGCATTTTTTGTGTCTGTGCATGAGAGAGATGCCCCCTGCCATCCTCTGGCTGATTCACTTCATACCTCTCCCCCTAACATCCCTCTTCTGTCTTCTTGTCAAATTACCCTCTCTTTTTTTCTAGTTATTTATTGCTGAATACTAGGACTCAAAAGTTAGACTGAAGCTAAGTTTCCTATACAGGTGTGAGTCAGTCAGAAGCCTGATCCAAAAACCTTATTATCTTCCTGAAGGAAGACATAACATTTACATAATTGGGCAGTATTGCAACTTATATTTAGTATCATATTATAGGGGATAATTGTGTAAAACTTTAAAATGGCCCCCAAAAGATGACTAGTGTTTTACTTTATCCAGTTTTCCAGCTTTTGCATACTTTGATTATCTTTAAGCCATTTTATAATTGTGTAACTTATAGAAAATGACAATACAAAGGATTCTTGTCCCCAGAAATGGAAATTGTGTATGATAGAATATAATTGATTGTTGTCTTATGGACAATGACCAATTTCACATGGGTTTGTAATTCAGTATTTTTAGTGTTTATATACTTGTTTGTTCTTTGGGTTTATCTTTGAATCCCTTGTAACATGTTATAAGTTCTTTCTTTAATGAGTTAAATAAGGTCTATGTCCCATGTTAAAAATCTTCTGTTGTGTATACACAGTTATGTTTTTACATAGCTCTAGAGAAATTCCCAAAGTTGATAGATGTGATTGCCTCTACAAAAGGCAGAAAAACTTGGTTTTCACTGTGTAGCTTTTGGATCTTTTGAGTTTTATAGTCTGATATTACCTAAGTCAATAATTTTTAAAAATTAATTTTGAATTCTCTAAAACCTATCCTTAGCCATCCCTTACCTATTAAATTAATATATGAAATAACATTCTACAGAAATTTTTGTCTCTAAATAAGTTACTAGTAGATGGTAACTTAAACATCAGCAGTGTATCTAGAACTTTGTTTTTATAATCTTTAAAGTTTTGAACTTTATTTTCAAAGTAGTTCAGTTAAAATAAATTGTCAGATGGTGCTGATTCTGTTGTGAACTTGTTAAGGAGTTGCATAATCTCAGTGTGGAGTGAAGTGGCAGACCAGTTGACCTACTTTGCAGTTCGTCTTGCCTCCTGCCCAGCTGTGCTGGCTCTGTACCTCCCCGGTCTAATTATAGCTAACAGCTCTCTTTAAGCTAGTAGTTCTCAGGCTTAGGCGCATATTATTATCTGGGGTGCTTTAAAAAATCCAAATGCCCAGTCCAATTGAATCACAGTGTCTGAGAGTAGGACACAGACTTCACTATTTTTTTAAGTCCCCTGAGATAGTGCTAATGTTGAGAAATACCACTTTATAAAAGAAGGGTATGGGCTTGACAAAACGTTAACATCTTGTACCTCAGAAACAAAAGTAGTCAGAATTTCTAACTGAAAGATCTACTTAGGTGAAGAGGGTCCAAACTGAAGAGAAAGTAAGCATGCACCACTTACTGAATATTCTTTTTTTAAATATTTTATTTATTTTCATTTTACATATATGAGTGTTTTGCCTGCACGTGTGTAAGTGCACCGTGTTGTGCAATGCCCTTGGAGCTCAGAAGAGAGTGTTGGATTCCCCTGGGACTGCAGACGGTTGTTAGCCACCATGTGAGTGCTGGGAATCGAACCTGGGTCCTCTGTAAGAGAGTCAGTGCTCTTAACCACTGAGCCATCTCTCCAGCCCTTACTAAATATTCTTATAAGCAGTATCTATATGTACCTGTTAGTGCCTTGGAATGATGAAACTCAAGTACAGACTATGATTCAAAAGGCTACGCTGACTTAGGTACAGTTATCAGAGTTCTGTTCCTCTTTGTAGCTCTCAATTCAGCCAAATTCTTACTAAGTAGAAGACCCTGAGCTGAGATGGAGTGCACAGTCTTACCTTGTGCCTCTGCCTTTCCAGACACAAAGCTTGCTGACTCACGGGTGGCACCCATTCCATGATACCACTGCCACCCTACAGCTTTGTAGCTGACAAAAGGTCATATCTGTCATATACCAACCAGATAACTAAAACCACTACTGTACTACAAGGCCAATTACATGTCTGGTTTGACCATTGAGAGGTCTTTGTTAGAGTTGAGTTTTAAAGAGAGATGTAAAAGTGTGTCCATTTATTTTGGCATGGGAAAGTGAGGAAATAGCCTACTGTATGTATGGCACTTCCTTTCCAACCTGAAAGATGTCTTCCAGTGTCAAATCCTGATTAATGGAGGCCTGCCTGCATTTCACAGTTTAAAATGCTTTATTGTTGCCTCATCCTTCTCTTAAACATGAAAATGTGTATCATAAACTCTGTTGTGGTGGTTTGTCTTCATGAGCTCACTTTATGTCCCCTCCCTTTTGTGTAGGAAGACAGAGATGTCAATAACCTCATGGCTAACCGAGGAGGCAATGGATTAGCTCCTGGGGATGACAGATTCAAACCTGTGGTACCATGGCCTCATGTTGAAGGAGTGGAAGTGGACTTAGAGTCTATTAGAAGAAAAAACAAGGCCAAAAATGAACAGGAGCATCGTGCTGGAGATTCTCAAAAAGACATAATGCAGAGGCAGTACCTCACATTTAAGCCTCAGACATTCACTTACCATGATCCTGTGCTGCGTCCAGGGGTCCTCGGTAACTTTGAACCCAAAGAACCTGAGCCTCATGGAGTGGTTGGTGGCCCTGGAGAGAAAGCCAAACCATTGGTTCTGGGACCAGAATACAAACAAGACGTTCAAGCCAGCATTAAAGAGTTTGGATTTAACATGGTGGCAAGTGACATGATCTCACTGGACCGCAGCGTCAATGACTTACGCCAGGAAGAGTAAGCACACATCCTCTTCTTTCTAAACTTGGGGCAGCTGCTGTTCTGTAGAAACTTAGATTTAGTTAGATTGTGAAAAATGCAGAAAATATTTGTGTCTTCATTTCAGTGAATAAGAGAATCTTCAGCAAAATGGTCAGAAGGCGGGGGCTTCTCTATTTTTGCTGCTGTATTGAAGATACATTATTTTAGATTCTGGGGTTTTATACATCAGTGCTACTCAAAATGTGGTCCCCAGACTAGCACCAGTCTATGATTTTTGTTTGTTTGTTTCTGGTATATAATGCGTAAGTAAGCTTGCAACTACACTACTAAATAATTTGTTTAGTTCGAGTGATAATATTTTAATAATAGAACATCCACATGTTTTCATTCTGGAAGAACATTCCTCCTCTTGCTTTAAAGCAGTGGGAAATGGTAATACTGCTTTGGGAATCTTCTTTATGTAGTTAACTAGATTTATGTTTCCTTTAGTTTTTTTTTTTTCCCTTCGTACTAAAATGGAAATTGAAACACTTAAGTACATGCAGTAGGAGAGCTCAGACAGATAAAACTACTGCCTACCCTTTCAAATTCTTTTCATGCATTATGATTTTAAATGAAGGATTTACAGCTCTTAGCTTTTGATAGACAGTGATTATTGAGTGAACTCAAAGCTTTTCTCTCCCAGTTTATTCAATAATTGGTTCTACTACTATGGGATCTAAGTGGCTTTCATGAATGTGAATACAAGTTTAATTCATTATGACTAGAAAACTCTTAAATGTATTCCTGATATATTGTTAGTATAATCTTTATTTTAAAAGGTTAACGGCAGGTGCACACACTGCTACACCTACGCAGAAACACATATGGAACAGCATTGTTCATGACCGTGAGTTAAATTCCCAATGTAGTGCCACTCCTTAGACTTTGGGTAGATGTTCATACATGTACTGTGCACTGAGAATGGAGAAATAACGCAATGATGGTGAGAGATATCACCTAACACAGAGAAGCGTTAGCCTGTCATAGGGATGTGAGGGAAGCAACTTGGAATTCACGATTTGTTGCTACCAGAGACTAAACTAGTTATAGGGTTACCAGGGTTAGCAAATAAAAATATAAGATGCTTAGTTAAGTTTGAATTTCAGGTAAACAGTGAAAAGCTTTACTATAAATATATCTCAACTATTACATGGGGCATACTTAAAATCTTTTGACTTATCTGAAATCCAAATTTAACTGGGTGTCCCATATTTTATCTGCCAACTCTTCTAGTCAGAAATGAAGATAAACGTTCCAGAGGTTGGAACCTCCATGTAAATGCTCTTGAGGACTAGTAACAGGATCTGCAGTTCCACACCTCACAGGTGTTCCCATTATCTAAGCATAGCACTCATCCAAGCATTCTGTGTATTCAAAGTGTTCTGTGTGTACTTACTCATGTCATTGTTGGAGGATGAAGACCCTGGTGAGGAGGGAAAGAGGCTCTCATTTGTTGACTTTTCTACATACCAGGACTTGCTAGTAATTATGATATTCTCACATTTGACTTATGAGAGGGTTCCTCCTTGTGTTATAAAGTTTGAGGCTCAGAATTCTGAGTTCCCTGTATAAACCACAAAGTGGCAAAGTTATGAATCACCATTGGGTGTGTTGGTGTGAAAGTTCCCATTCTTTACACCACGCCACACCTAAGGTATGTCTCTTTTTAGACAGTGAGCCTCAGAGCAGGCATTACAGTCACAGTCAACTGAGCATTGTGCACACGGAAATTTCAGTACACATGCTATATATTTAAAAAAATGCATCATTTAAGACACCAATGCAAACATAGTTAAGTTTCAATGTAAAAGTATAGTAAGAAAATCGCGTGAGGTACAGTGCGTAGGAATGAATCATGCTTTGTGTCATTGCCCTTCACATCCAGTCATCACAGGGCCCCTGATTCCCACCACCAAAGGACAACTCAGGTTAGATCACTCTCAGACCTGTTTCTAGATCACCACTGCCCTCACCTATGTCCATGTAACCATTGCCTCACCTGATACCTTGCAAAAGCCTCCTGATTGTTCTCTCCATTCCTGTTCTTGCCTGTTATTCACATAGAAACCAGTATAGTCATCTTGAATATATTTACTCTGTGCTTTCCCGTTGTCCTTTAAGCAAAATTCAAGTTCCTGACCTGCAGCAGCTCTTCTGCTGTGACCTGTGAGGCAGGATCTGCCTTGTAGACCGCCTCACGCTGTCTTGTAGACTGCCTCGTGCTGCCTTACAGACCGCCTCATGCTGCTTTGCAGACCTCCTTTTGCTTCCATGCTCTTTACCCACAGCTCCTAGATGTGTTGGCCATCTCAAGACTGTCATATGTGCTTCTCCTCACCTTGCCTTTTCTTCTTCCTATTATAGCTGGATCTTTCTCATACTTTAGATCTTACATATACCATTTACATTTATATGATACATTTCTAATTTTGGTGTTAATTTTTAAAAATGGGTCTAGAGCTGGGCATGGTAGCTCATGCCTTTAGTCCCAGCATTTGGGAGACAGAGGCATGCTCATCTCTTGTGAGATCAATGCCAACCTGGTCTGCATAGCAAGTTCCAGGCCAGCTGGGGCTATAGAGACCCCGTCTCAAACAACCAACCAACCAAAAGGTCTTAACAATACTGATCCTTCAGAACTGGGATTATAATTCAATGGCATAGTAAACCAAAAGTATTTTCTTACAGTCCTTTTGGCTAAAACTTTAAGTATTATTGGTCCAGTTTTCTACTGTGGTGTTTTTTTAGTATTTTCTGACAAATTGAGTGTTTCGATTACTATTTATCTTGGATAGTTTCCATCACTGTTTGGAGGTGTTAATGTCACACCTGCCTTATCTTATCTCCCCTGTGTGTGTAATGTCCCTGCCCTTCCTTCTTTCACACCTTCCATAGGCAGTTGTTTCCCTGCATTTTTTTCTCTCACACACAGGAGCAGTACCTAGAAATAAGTGATTTGCTTTTTATGGAGCATTCCTGTGAGGTATCACTGTCTCCCATCAAATTCAAGAATACTAAACTATCTTTACATTGCTCCTCAGCCTTTCCTAGAAGTTCTGTATTAATGATATTCCTTCTTTTAAAAAAATATTTAAGATAATTACCATCAGAAACATTTTAAAAACTACATTCCTTCTCATACTTCGGGAAAAATGAGGTAGGGGCTTAAAAAATGAAGTAGGGACTGGGAAGACAGTTCAGTGGGTAAAGTGCTTGTCCCTTAAGCATGAAGACAGAGTTCAGGTCCCCAGCACGCATGTACAAGCCAGGTAATTGTAGCAGCCTGCCTGCAATCCTAGTTCTCAGGACGTAGAGACAGGAGATCGTTAGAGTAAGCTAGCTAGGTAGACTGGCTGAATCAGCAAGAGACCCTGCCTTCATATAAAATGGAGAGCAATCAAGGAAGATACCCTAACATCAAGCTCTGGCCTCCATGTGGGTATTCGCCTCCACACATGTGAACCCCCATCACACATCCACATGCAAAAAGAAAAAGTAAGGTAGGTTTCATTCTTCTTTGAAAACTTAAAATTCAGTGTAAAATACAACAAATAATTTTAAATAGCTTTATTTATAAATTAGAATATCAGCAAGCTTAAGAATCTTCTCTAACATTAAAAAACAATGAACAACCCCTTGGTTATGCATATTATCTAATATACCTATTATCACTTTTCTGCTTTTACTGACAACATACCATGCATGCTTATTGCACACATCCTCCCTCCCTCACCCCTAGTAGAGCATGTGCTACAAAGCCCATCGGAGACCAGCTAGTTTCCTGCAGCTGTACAGGTCTTCACAGCCTTGTGCTGGTGCCTGTGTCGTTCACATAAATGAGCCACCTGCAAAGCTTAGCTACCAGTTTGGGGTTGCTGGTCCAGCTGTGACATCTGACACTGTGGTTAACTTGCTCGTTCTTGTGGCTGTTCCAGAGTCTCCTCTGATGAATGTTCTGTGCCCAAGCAGCAGGATAGAGCTGCCCAGCTGCCAGCATGACTCATGGATGTGATAGCTTTGAATTGCGTTCATTGGCTGAATAATTTATTGGTTGTTGATAGCTTGTTAAGAGTATTCTAAGTGGACTGGGAACCTACATCTTTTTTGAAGACTTGGGCCAAGAATGACTTCTTCTGCCTTCACATTTATTTTTATTAAAAAAAAAATTTATATGTATGAGAATATTGCTTGTATGCACTCGTGTTGTACAGTGTCTGTTGATGTCAGAAGAAGGTGTCAGATCCCTTGGAACTGGAGTTAAGATGGTTATTAACCACCATGTGGGTGTTGGGAATTGAACATGGATCCTCTGCAAGAGCAGCCAGTGCTCTTAACTGCTGAACCATCTCTCCAGCCCTCACATTTATTTTTAATAAGAAAGAATATCTGGGAGGAGATGCTGAGGACACTATCCCTGGGAATTGAAGAGTATTCCTAGGAAGAGGGTACACAGCAGTGCACATGAACGAGTAGTAAAGTTTTCTTGAATCAAAGTCTATGGGAGGAAACAAAACTGGTTAGAGAGTTAGGACATTGGTAGGCTATGATGCCATTTACAAAGTCTGCCAGAGCTTGCTAATCAGACCCACTGAAGGCTGACACAGAGAACTTTAGTAGTGCTAGACTAGTGTCTAGAATATCTAGGGATGGAAAGTGGTTAGTGGTATTGGAGTGGAAACTCTGTAGAACGAGAAAAAGAAGACTCTGTAAGAGAACGGAATAGTTAGACTCAGTGGTTCTTGGTCAGTTGGAGCAAAACGAAGAATCAAAGATAAACCCAAGTTTTGAAGCCCTACAACACAAAGAATGGTCCATGAACAGAAGTAGAATGGTTAGCTAGGACAGGCCACTCTGCCCAAAGCTCATTCACCGAAACCAGTTTATTTTTTGACTTTAGGTGAGTTCATGCAGAGCCAGTCAGGATGAGGAATCCATCTTTGGAAAGAAGTGGAAAGTTCTTTTTGTGGTTATGT